TTTCTGAGTTTTCCACCTCTCCTTAAATGCAGATGTAAATTGCTGAATATGCATTTGTGGCTAGTTATTATAGAATTTTACCCCTATAGAATCATAGTAAGGATTCTGTTTAAACACAAATAAAACAATACATTTACAGGATGTTGATATATTATGCTTAGGTTTGGAGTTTGGAGTATTCAGTTAGTTCCTGTGTTTCTCAGTGTGTTGCTAAGTGTTAATGGTGAGGGCTTGGGAGTTTCTTGAAGACATTTGAATGCATTTCCATTGCACTGCATTTGAAATAATTGTCATTCTATCAGCCAACTACCCAAAAACCCAGACTTGTCCATCAGATTACCAGACACAGAAGCATGATTCATCAGTCCAGAGAACTCATCTCCACTCCTCTAGAGTCCAGTGATGCCGTACTTTACACCACTGCATCCAACGCTTTGCATTGCACTTGGTGATGATGTAAGGCTTGGATGCAGCTGCTCGACCATGGGACCCCATTCCATGAAGCTCTCTATGCACTGTTCTTGAGATAATCTGAAGGCCATATGAAGTTTGGAGGTCTGTAGCTATTGACTCTGCAGAAAGTTGGCGACCTCTGTGCACTATGTGTCTCAGCATTTTAGGTGGCCTACCATTTCGTGGCTGAGTTGCTGTCATTCCCAATCCCTTCCACTTTGTTATAATACATTTGAACAGCATTTGAACGTAGGTGTCCTTGTTGTCCAGGTGAGTGAGGGCCAGATGCAGGCTGATAGCAAGGTGTCATCTTTAGATGGTGGATGTGTGTGACAGGGGAATAGTCATCGAGGCAGGAGGCTGGAGACATCTTTGGCACAGGGATTTCAGGAAACTTGATTGTAAACAGCTTCCTTTTTCTGTTAATGTAATGAGGACAATTTAAAATTTATTACTCATACTGAACATATCAGTAAAATGTTTAATAATAATCTATTAATTTTCCACCAACACATCCAATTGTTGTGCAGCCTTTCTGTGTGGAGCTTGCATGTTCTACAAAAGGAGAAGTGAAAGCAGGAAAGTTCTATGTCATGGTTTCCCCATGTCTGTGTGGTTTCCTCCAGGGTGGTTCTCTGTCTCTTTGTGTCAGCTCTGTGACAGACTAGCAACCTGTCCATGTGTCCTCCACCGCCTGCCCAGTGTCAGGGATCTGCTCCAGTACAACATCCACCTGTAGTGACTTCAGCATAATAAACTCTTATACTGTTA